CTGTTTTTTTTTTGAGATGAGGGATGCACCTCGGTGAGCATGGTGGTTTCTTGTCAGTTTTGTGTGAACCAATGCCGCATTGAGGGATGTACCTCATTGATCGATTGGCATACCGCCACTCTGTTGGTTCAAGAATTCATGCTGCATGTTTTACATGTCCTCAATGTCTTTCATGCACAACTTAACATTTCAAAAAAAAACTTTTGTTTATTAAGCCCGGGTTGCGCCATTTGCCGCAATGACATCGATCGTTGACTCGGAAGCGCAATTCGACCTACGTCTTGACCAGGTGGGTGTGCCACAAGCTTTGCGGTTGGCTTTGAAAAATTCAGGTGTGAGCACCATCTCTTCGCTCGCTTATTCCTATGGCCAGCCTGGACAGCCGATTGCCAATGAAGATTTCACGCAGTGGGTCAGACAGATGGACCCCGCAGCAACAATCGGTGGGGTCGCCTCCTTAAAGCGACTGCTGTTTGAGTCACAGACCCAATTGCTTGCGCTGTTGAAAGATCAGGTCACAAACCCAGATCCATTAGCCACAAAGAAGGTTCCACAAGCAGAGAAGGATGCCAGGTTAGCAAACCTTCGCAATCGTCTTTCAGGGGTCCTCATTGAAGGCCACTCAGAACCATGCCATGCCCTGCTTGATACAGCCAGCCAAATGTATGATCAGAATATCTTGCGCTATATTCCTTTGGAGAAGTGCTACAGCCGTTTGACTGAACTGTCCATGACTACGAAGGCCCCTTTGAAACTTTTGGAAGTCGAGGCCTCTAAGATCGTTTTGAAAGACAAGGAGCTGGATCATGAGGCGACAGTGCAATCCTCATATCAGGCACTGGAGTCCTTCAAGCGCCGTGGACTGGCCCTTGATTTCGCAGGCATCATGTCTTTTTCCAAACACGACAGATATGTCCAAATGCTATTTAGCCATTTGAATAGGGACCCACCGACCGGCTACAACAGATGCAGCGTGTCGCAACTGCTGGCGGCCGACCGAGCAGCTTGGTGCAACCTCATCGAAGTGAATACGAAACCCAGGCCTGATGCATCTGGAGTGCTTGCATTGGATTCCAAATTGGAGGAGGCATTGAAATCCTACGAGGTTAGTTTCACACTGCTCCCAGTGGCTTCAAAACAAGTCACCAAGCCTGCTGCCCAAACACCAGCGCCGGCGAACAAAACCCAACCTGCAAAAGGAAACAGAAAGGGTTTGAACAGATTCCGGCCATACGCATCAAAAGGAAAGGGAAAAGGCAAAGGGAAGACAGACCAGCGCATACCGCGCGAAATCAGGGAAGCCGGTGGCACAGCATCCACCCCTACCGGTGATCCCATATGCTTTGACTTCTCACTGAAAAAGTGCAAGGAGATGGTTGAGAACTCCAGATGCAGAAAAGGATTCCATGTGTGTGCCATCTGTTATGGTCAACATTGTATGTTGGATCACAAGAAAGCCTGACAAACACCGCTGGGTGAACACCAGAGCAAGGATGGCTGCGCTCATAAGCGCAAATCAGCTTGCGACACAGTCGATTTGCCTGAGCCTCAGAAAAAGCAGAAGTCATCATGCCTTCTTAGTGCAGCCGCCACTTCACCGAAGCTTGATGATGCCCCAATTTTTCCAACTGCCGAATTTAATCCAAAGCCAGTTTTGCAGGAAAAAATTCCAAGTGCACCCGCAGCGAAGCCTGTGGCCAGTGAATTCTGTTGCTCGCCTGTTTTGCCAAACTTTTTGCAGAAAATTTCTCCGACAGCACCCACGGTGAAGCCTGTGAATGATGTCCCTTTGCCACATAATTTGACACGCCCGCCTGTACAGGAGGACCCTTCCGCAGTAGACCCATTTTTTGTGGAGATTTGTGCAGGCTCTGCCCGTGTTACATCCTGTTTGCAATTTTTGGGCCTGAAATCCTCATTTGGAGTCGATCATAAACGTGCCAGAAACTCAGGGCGTCTCCTCACCGTAGACCTTACAACTGTGGAAGGACAGGAGCTTTGCATGCGTTGGATCCGCTCCCCAAATTGCCTAGGAATCTTCGCTGCACCTCCATGCGGAACTTGCAGCCGTGCACGTGGCATACCATTGCGTTCGCCAACCGGCCGATATGTTCCAGGTCCTAAACCCTTGCGGTCAGATGAGTTTCCTGATGGTGTCACAGACATGTCCGACCTCGACCAACGCAGAATCCAGTCGGCCAACATTCTCTATGCCTTCATCACCCGTGTTTCTATGGAAAGCATCGCGTTGGGAAAAGTTGTGTGCATTGAGAACCCTCGTTCATCTTTGTATTGGCGAACTTCCTTCTTCGCCCCACTAAAGACGTTGCTTTCCTTTACCATCCATCAGGCATGCGCCTATGGGTCCGAGCGACCTAAATGGACGGCCCTGGCCCATAACACCTCCACCATGCACCAGCTAAATAATCTCTGCCCCGGAATAGGCCCCCATCATAGGCACAAACCCTGGGGTTTAATTAATAACGGGCTCTCATTTTCTACTGCAGAAGAGACAGCCTACCCAATGAAGCTGGCGTTTCACATCGCCTTTTATTTAGCCGAGCATGCTGTTTCCAAGGGATGGGTGCCTCCTGCTGGTGAACTCACCTTGCCTGATGAAATGTCATACCAGCAGTTGCGCTCCGTCACTGGCATCCAGCCAAAATCCAGTAAACTACCCCCCTTAGTTTCTGAATTTCAAACATTCATTGACATCGACGTCCCAACATCTAGTACTCCTCCGGTTACCCCGGGTGAATGCCTGACCGAAGCTTGGCAAAATATCGCAGCCGGGGCCTGCTTCCTTAAAAAACCACGTCGGTTAAATGGGGGGGGGGATAACAAAATTTGCCAGCCTGGATACAAAAGGCTATCATTCGGAGTTTTCCACACTACTGAGCAATTTGTCCAAAAAGCAGTTCTTGCAGGCCATCCTGTAGGTAGTGAGTCCAGATTGCCAGCAGCCCTAAAAGAAGCCGTAGACATGGTAACTTCCAGCTCGGTAAAGCAAATCACTGAGCACCGCTTGAAAGCATTAAAGCATTGGCTGTCCAGGGCCAAAGCCTTAAACCACGATGAAGAGAAGCTGCATGAGGGCCTGCCTGATGGCCTGCGAGACATCCTGGCTCCGAAACGTTTGCTGCTTTGGAAAGAAATGCTGACTTGGTATGGATACCCAGATGCTGGAGTTTTCGATGAAGTTGTGGGGGGTATTGAACTTTCTGGTACCACTTGCTTTGTCCCTTCCCTTGAAGCTGGCTTTAAACCTGCAAAGATTACCGAAGCGGAGTTGGCCGCGACAGCTCGTGCCTCTCGGATTGGTTTGTTGTCATCTGTGAGATCTTCAGGGGATGACTTCATCGATGGTGAGGTCTTTGCGAAAACCTTAGAGGAGTTGGAGTGCGGCTGGTTGGAGGGTCCGCTTTCACCCGAAGACCTTCCCGAATCAGCTGTTGTTAGCAGACGCTTTGGCATAAAACAGGGCACAGGGGAAAAAGCAAAAGTGCGTTTGATAGACGACTTCAGTGCTTCGGGGGTCAACTCGACAGTTCAAGTGGAGTGTTCTGCCAAGTTGCACACGTTGGATGTCGCTGCGGCCTTGTGCATGGAACTCCTGAGGGGTTCCGCTTGTGCCGAGTGGGTGGGAAAGACCATTGACCTCTCGGCTGCGTACCGGCAACTTGGTATAGCTCCCAGCTCCCGCTGGGTTTCTTACATAGCTGTCTACGACCCTGACAGCCGCAGTCCCAAGATTTTTTCCATGAAAGCTCTCCCCTTCGGAGCATCAAAGTCTGTTTATGGTTTTTTGAGGGTGGCGCACTCCATTTGGTGGCTAGGATGCAAAGCGTTGGCAATCCCCTGGACAAATTTCTTCGACGACTTCATCACATTGGCGCGCTCCTGTGAAAGTGAATCCTTATCGATCATAGTAAACCAGTTCTTCAAGCTCCTTGGCTGGGCGGTATCCGCGGGCGAGAAGGATTTGCCGTTTGCGAAAAAGTTCAAGGCGCTGGGTGTTGAGATCGACTTGACGTCCTGGGGTTCAGGTGAGGTGAGGTTTGCAAACACTCCCCAGCGCATAGCAGAGCTGAACGAGACCATCTCAAAAGTGCTTAAATCCAAAAAGCTGGCGACCCAAGATGCGTTGTCTCTCAGAGGCCAAATGCAGTTTGCCCACTCCCAACTATGGGGAAGATCAGCGAAGCTCTGTTTGAACGCGGTGACCACACATGCATACTCTGACCATGGAGATGACGTAGGTGAGACGCTGGCATACTTCCTGGAAATTTTCAGAGACCGCTTGAAGGCGTCCAGACCCCGAGTTGTCACACCTGCCTGGGATAGCCCCATGTTTGTATTTACAGATGCCAGCTTCAGCCCCGAGGACAAGTGTTGGCGGTGTGGCCTTGGGGGCGTCTTGCTTGACTCCCACGGCAGACAAGTTGCTGCTTTCTCTTACTGCCTTTCCAGTGAGGAGTTGGGAACGCTTGGATACCCAGGAAAGTCTACAGTCATCTTCGAAGCAGAAATGCTGGCCTTGCTCGTTGGTTTTGTCTTGTGGAAGCGCCGGTTGCGAAACCGACCCTGTGTTTTCTACATTGATAATAACTCATCAAGGGATGTTGCCATAAGTGGGCGGGCCCGGACTCAACCGGGGTCAAACCTTGTAGCCGGATTGTTAAAGCTCGAAGATGAAAGCTGCACCAACTCATGGTTTGCGCGTGTGCCCTCAGCCAGTAACATTGCCGACGGCCCTTCCAGGAACTGCATGTCCGAAATTTCGGTTAGGCCTGTTTCTAGGGAGTTGGTTTGTCTTGCCGTTAAAAAGATTTTGCGGCCTCTTCTGCATGCCGGTTAAAATGGGGGTTATGTTTCTCTGGTGATGATGGAAATGAAAGCAGCCGATGCAGGCTGATATGATGTGACGTGAATGGTGGGCCTTTGATGCAGTGGCGCTGTGATGGCAGCGTATGGCCCCAAAGAGTTTTTGAAACGTGGTCATGCCGACCAGATTTGAATATGCCATGTGGACATCGTTGGATGATGTCGGAACCAGAGACTTCCCCCCTGGCGCGTGCAGAAAAAAGGTGAGGCGCTTGTGATTTCACAGTTGTGCATTTTCCAGTGATGTTTGTTTCATGCCTGGTTTTGTTTTTCCTCCCTAGTGACTCCCTTCCGTTTATGTTTTGGTTTCTCTAGTTTTAATGCCGGTAACTCGGAGGTGTTGTCTTCGTGGCTTAGTGAGGTAAAGTTAAGCTTGCTGTCAATAAAATTGATAGCGCATTAAATTGACCGAACGAAGGAAAATAATTTTCAAAAAAAAAAATTTGGGCCACGATGTACACACCTCAAACATGTTGCGGAAGGGTAGTCAAAACAAAACCTCTGTTTACCTCTTCGGTGCAGTTGCTTGAACCTGTTGGTTTTTAAATAAGTAATACGTCAGAATAGGTTCAGGCAAGTAAAATCCTCCTGGAAAATATTCTCGTGTTTCTCGGTGTTTTGCCTGGTCACTTGTCAGCTGTGCACACTTGGTAATGTATCTCACCCAAATTGAAGTTTTGTCATCTCAAGTTTGCCTGTCCCAGCCCAGGTAAACCTTTCCCACCCAGGCAATTCACTTTCATGTGCAACCCTGCGAGTTTTGGCACCAGCTGACGTCACCATATTTCCAGGCGAACATGTCACCCGACTCCATCGTCCAGCTCACTGCAGCCATCTCGATATCCCTGTGCTTCTTAGAGCCGGCGATGCCTGACCACAGAGCTGCGCAATCGTTACAAGAACGACGTATTACGCAGTTTGACGAACTGATCACCGGGTGCCGACTCATCCTGGAAACATGCGGCAAACCAAAGTTCCTTGAGAGCATCTTCGTCCTTTGGGGACAACTTTCGCAGGCACTGTATTTGCTGGAGCGAACGTTGTGGCCAGAGCAACGGCCAGATACCCCGTTGCACCTGCGACTCCCCAATGCTCCCCGACCATTGGGAGATTTACTGTTGGACGCCTTCACGCCCAACATCCAGTACATTTACAATGCGATCAATGCTTTGTCTACATTCCACACCTGGTTCACCGATTCATACAGTGTGGAGCTCCATTCGGACTTCAACAGCGTCCTCGAGGACTCGATCCTTATTTTTCGCAGCGTTGAAACGCTGTTGCGTTTAAAGCAACGCTACATCGCCCGGGCTCCGCGAGACCCAGCCATCGATCTCGATCCTCCCGAGGACACTGCGACTGGTACAACAGAACCTGCAACCGGCTCTGCACCGCCAGCGGATGCACCAGCCCCCGAAGGTCCAATGGAGCTGCTCAGTGACACCGGTACTCCGTTGCAATGGTATTGATGGATATGTTTCTCTGGTGATGATGGAAATGAAAGCAGCCGATGCAGGCTGATATGATGTGATGTGAATGGTGGGCCTTTGATGCAGTGGCGCTGTGATGGCAGCGTATGGCCCCAAAGAGTTTTTGAAACGTGGTCATGCCGACCAGATTTGAATATGCCATGTGGACATCGTTGGATGATGTCGGAACCAGAGACTTCCCCCCTGGCGCGTGCAGAAAAAAGGTGAGGCGCTTGTGATTTCACAGTTGTGCATTTTCCAGTGATGTTTGTTTCATGCCTGGTTTTGTTTTTCCTCCCTAGTGACTCCCTTCCGTTTATGTTTTGGTTTCTCTAGTTTTAATGCCGGTAACTCGGAGGTGTTGTCTTCGTGGCTTAGTGAGGTAAAGTTAAAAGTTGTAGAAAGTCAAAACTTGGACCAGATTGCAAGACGTTGCAAGGTTCACACATGAGCTAGATTGCAGACGTGCATAGGCTCAGAGAACAGATTAAGTAAGAAAGAAAGAGACAAAGGGAACTGGACGGCAGGGGCGATTACGACTTGCATAGGTTCCGAAACGTGAGACTGACTGAAATGAATGTAAATGTGCTGTCAGTTTGTGGCTCGACATACTGTCTAAGTGAGAGACGAAGTATGGAGCTGTCTATTATGCTGGACTTGACGTGACATTTTGTCTGGACTCCTCATGTTTGTGTAGGTTTCATTCCACCGTTGCTGTTTTACTATAAGACAACTTTGGCTCAGTGTTTTTGCATTTCAGCTGCCCTCGCGATAGCTTTGAGATACTATGGCATCGACGGCAATGGAATCCATTCGTCTTTGGTTGGCGTTGACTCCTAAGCAGTTTGAGGACTTGAACAATGGCAAGGAGATTCAGCCTGACGAATATTCCAAAAGGTTTGGACTACGAAAGGACCCGGTTGCTGCCGTTGAGCGTGCTCAGTACTTCAATGATTGGACACCGGAAGGTCCCAAGGGTGAGTTTTGTGCCAAAGACTACGTTCTGGTCGAGGTCGAGCTGACCGCCATTGGCTATCTCCAGAAAGCCGAGGCGGGGATTCTCTTGAAATATAAGCCCAACGAATACCGTTGGCAGGGGACGATGAAATCTGTAGAGTTTGACCAATACGGAAACTTGTTATACAAGTTTTCCACAGAGGCTCACCAGATCATCTGAGTACAGAGGAAATATCCTCTCAATGTATAGGTTTTTGCAATGGTTCCAGGTCGGGTGGTAGTGCTAGGCTTGGAAGCCGACGTTAGCTGCGAGGAGAAATGCAAAAGCGGTGATGAAAGAGCTGTCAAGCTGAGATTGGAGTGAAATGACAATTTTGGGATGTCTTGGAATTTTAGAGTTTTGGACGATTTCGGACTGGACGGAACTTGGACTTGTGGAACTCAGTTTGAGTGGTTTTCTGTCAGCTGTCACGAGCTTTGCATGAGTTTTCATTTTTGCTGCATGACATGTCTATGGGTTTTATACGCGCGGGAAACCACGGTGATCTGTTTTGCAGTTTTGTGAAGGGTTGTGCATGCATTGGCAGTTGGATTTGGATTGAGTTTGCGGTTTGCCACAAGTTTGCATTATTTTTGTTTTGTCTGAGACATTGGAGTTTGGTCGATCACATATTACCTGTCAAGATGTGTGGCACGCATCTTGGGGTAGTATTGAGTGTGATCTTTGTCGGAAGTGTGATTCATCTGTTAAGGTGTGCGTCACGCACCTTAGGATGAACAAGAGAGAGTTTGTGCTTGGCATGGCATGAAATGGCTGAGCTGTGGTCTGCATGGTCATTAGAGGGATTGTCAAGTTGAATTGCAGATTATGCCCAAGCTGTATTTGGGGCCCGGCTTATCCCAGCGGGTGCATCAGGCCTTGTCTAGGAGACTCGAGCAATTCATGGCAGCGAACGTGGCAGCTTCCGCAACTCCAGCAGCCCCAGCAGCTCCATCGACAGAGGGTGTAGAGTTTCCTGTGTCTGAGAATCCAGCGCTACCGGCGCAGACAGGAGCGGCTGAGACGGATTCCGAGAAAGAGAAAGAACAGGATACTATCCATGCGGATGGAGATGACAAGGAAGACAAGGAGGAAGGAGATGCTGGAAGAGATGATGACAGATCGAGATCTCCGAGGTTGAGAAGGCATCATGAGTCCTTTGATCCCAATGAAGCGACCGACCTGCTGAATTCTACCACAGGCTTGGCTGTGGGAATCACGTCCATGGTCGCTGCGCTGAAAGGGTCGACGGACAAACTTGAGACTCTCATTAAGAGTACCCATACTCTGCAGCATGACCTTTGCAGATCCCTGGAAGCCGTTGGAGAAGCCGTCACTAACATGGCACGTGCATCCGAATCCCTGGCTGCTGGTGTGAACCACAACACCAGCAGGGTGGGTGCAATCGTGGGTGAATTTACCAAACTGAAAAAGCATGTTGAGTGGTCGCTTGACGTCTCGATGAAGGACGTGCTCAAAGACAACAAGAAAGGTCGCATGGAGAGAGACCAATCTTTGCAGGACATCATGACCCAGCTCCATGAGTCAATGGACAAGCTACAGGAAAACCTGAAGCTGGTTGCGGAGAGGATTGAAAGGGGGACACCACCGGCAGAAGTACCTCCAGTATGACCCTCCGCAGCCGCCCATGGGTCATCCGGGGATGTCACAGAGCAGTCCACCATTGGCACCTATGACGCCAGCTGCACCTGGCCCAAGTATCCCACCGCCGCCGGCAGTGCCGCCAAGACCTGCAATCCCAGCACCACCGACGTTGCAGACGGTGAGATTCGCAGGGTATAGCCCGGCAAGGATGGGCGAAGTGCCAATGAGTTATCCCCTGGCTTTGGAGGTGAAAGACATGAAGTCACCACCTACTCAGGTGATCGAGGAGGTCACGGGACGTATCAGATCTGTTTCACCCACACCACGTCACGATCCTCTGACGGGGACAGCAGCGTTCTCCCCTCTGGGGTATATGCAGATTCAGGGGACGCGGGAATACCGCAGGATATACCCCTGATATCTATCCCTGAGCAGAGTGCCAAAGGCACTGGAATTCGCCTGGTCTAACGACAAGAGAATAGTTGATTTTGTCAGCTCGAGGTTCACTTGTTGTTTTCAGAAATGACGGCATGGCTGAGCGCAGGCATCGAGTTTGAGTTTAAAAGGGGGCGAGAGACGCCGACTGACGCAGTAGATATAGTTCTGTATGCATATTTTGGTTGTTTGAGGTTTGTTTTGTTGTCATATGTCTCTCAATGACGATAGCGAGAGCAACGTTCTTGAAGGCATTCAGAACTCGGAGTTGCTAGCAGATCTGAGGGAGACATCATGAAGAAAAGTTGAAGTTGTTCTTGATTGGCTTGATTGCGGTATTTCTCATGTTTGAGTTGTTGTGTGCATGACTTGAGTTTTGTTGCTTGGAACATGAAACTTGATGTTGTGATTGTTTTCGCAAACATTTGGTATATTTTTGTTGTCATGGCACATGATGAGAACCTGGGAAGAGACTCGGACGGAATCTGAGTTTAAGTAATCGGAAAAATCTTCCGGGGAATCTGATGCCATGATTGCAGACATATCGCACTCTCATGTCATGATATAGACTCAAACAAGACATATCACACCTCCGAGATCTTTAGGATGGATCAGACGTTGAAAGGGGGACAGCGATCTATGCGATGATGAAGCTGTGAGAGATGTTTTGTCAAAATGTCCCTCACCGCTTCCTCATTCTGTGCCAATCTTAGCTAGTCCTGACCCTGACTGTGAAAGATTTTCATTCAGAACATTTTGAATTTGTTGTGCAGTGACTGTGAACTGTACTTCACTTGCTTTGAATAAGATGAGTTGCATGAGTGATATTACTTCACTTGCGTTTTCTTTTCATACGCCTACCTTCTTTACGAAGGTGCGGATTAGCTGAAACAGTTGGCCTTTGTTTTCGCGTTGACTCCGATCGTGCGACGTTAGGTTTCGTCTTGGGTCTCGTGTGTGTGTGTGTGTTTGTTTTGTTTTGTTCTGTTGTTGTTGTTTTGTGTGTTGTAGGAAGACAACAGCATTGTAGATATATCGTTATCGACGCCATGGTTTATCCGAGGAACTGGATTTTGGAAGACGAGTTTAGTACCGGAAAGACTCTAGGAGTCTTTGGACTGATTCTGGTATTCCAACATCTGGCTTTCGCGACAGAGAAGATTTTGAATTTGGGAGCTACGATATCATGCATGAGTCAAACAAGATGAGTTTTGGACGATACTTTATCATCTACCTTGCATTTTGGAAGTCTGTGTACTTCTGTGGATATCTTTTGATCATGGATATGATCTGGAGCGTGAACATTTTTCTGCGAATATTCGAGTGGTATCCGTATCTGGAAGTAAAGTGAGTGGATGAGATGTCATGTCGAAAGGGGGTATGGAAATTTGACACCCTGTGTGAGCACCCTTTGGGTAAGGGTGAAGCGACATGCCATTCATCAGTGTTTGTATAGTTTATGCACAGAGGATACGTGGAAGGTTACTGCAAGAAGTCATGGAAGATTGGTAGAGAACACTCTACTTATTGCGGAAGGAATCTTGTATGTGACCATCCTGTGTCACAATATTCTATTGGTCTCCGGACTTATTGTTTCTGACATCAGAGTGATGTCATTGATCAGTGTTGACCAGTGATTGTGGTATATGGATCAGTTCTACATCTTATTCTGGATTCGACTTGAGTCTGGTACGGCTTATTGCCTGAACTGAAGATACTTACATTGGTTTGACATTGAGATTATTTCTTGTGTCCACGACGCTCCTGGACACGGTGTATTGTGAAGCTCATTCTCTCCAAGTGATGAGAACACAGCTATAAACTCTTGGAGAAGAGTTTAAGCTAGCTGGAAATATCTGATGGAGAGAACCTATTATGCCTTGAACTTGGACCGTGAGATGCATTGGCATTGTGAGGACAATGATCATATTTGGGCATCTTATTTGTCTGAGAGTTTTGTGAT